TATATATATATATTAAGGTTATTGACATCCAAAAGGTTTTAGGCAACACTTTATCCAGAAATTTGCTTTCTTGATATGCACAAAAGAAAAAGTAACTTGAATATCAGTTTTTAGGTTCATACCTGTATTTTTTCTGAACGAGTTGCTCTTGGATGTGGCTCAGAATTTCAGTTACTGACTAGAAAAAGATACAAAAAATATTAATGGCATTGTTTCTAAAAACTGATTTTTTTTTTTACTTGTGGGATGCATCTAAAAATGAAATAAAAATATGTTAGCACTTCTGCATTTTATCCATTTGCAATCCAGTATGAAGTAAATGGTCTGGATGTTCAATAATTTAAAAACACATGAACATTCATCACTTGCTGCATAGCAAATAATATGTTCATGTGTGTATGTCTGCTCACCTGAGCATTGCTGCTGGTAATATCCTGAGGGACTTTATTATAGAAAACAAACAACACATCCAAAAGTTCTGGGTTTATGCTGATGCTACACTCCATCAGTTCATCAAGTGGCATCAGGTACAAGCAGGATCGAACTGAAAGTGCATCCACCTTCATCAAGTGACTGTTGGTTTTTATCACATTTAAAAGGGCTCTGAAAATATCAGAAATTTAAAAAGTAAAAAACTGCACTGTAGTAACATTTATTTATTTTTGTAAAACTCAGCAAAAGATGCACAGACAACAAAGAACAACTCTTACTTTCTTTCTTGGCTGTTAATGTATATGTCATCAATGTTAAGACCTTCCAAACCAGCCCAGGAAGGATTTAACTTCATGTTTCCTGAGGTTTTTACTTCAAAAGGTTTGACTGAGCCTTTGAGGAGGTGGAGGAGAGGCAGTACCATAATCCATCGAGGCATCCCTGCTTTTTTTACATCTTTTATCAGATGTACCAATGTTTCTAGAAGTCTGCAACAAAAAAAATTGAGAATTTGGACAGAAAAATCATTAGAAAAAAGTCAGTTAACTCAGAGTGGATATATATATATATA